AAAATTATTTGTTCTTTTTAGTTATCCATGACAGTATGAGTGAATTTTGACATAGAATATACACATGGAGTCTAACTTCCCATTCTTGTGGTTGGACATGATTCAGAGTTTCCCTGGTTATGCGTTCATATATGAACACAGGAAAGTTCTGTCCCATTCACTCCACTGTCTTTCCTATTCCCATCCCTCTCCCTTCCATTCATCCCCTTCTGTCTAATACAATGAGCGTCTATTCTCCTTCCCTGTCCCTTATGGTGTATTAGCATCTACATATCAGATAGAACATTTTGCCTTTGTCTTTTGGGGGGATTGGCTTATTTCACTTAGCATTATAGTCTCCAGTTCCATCCAATTACCAGCATATGCCATAATTTCATTCTTCTTTATGGCTGAATAATATTCTATTGTGTATATATACACTTTCTTTATCCATTCATCTGTTGAAGGGCACCTAGGGCGGTTCCATAGCTTAACTATTGTGCATTGAGCTGCTATAAACATTGATGTGGCTGTGTCACTGTAGTATGCTCATTTTAAGTCCTTCGGGTATATTCCCAGTTGGAATAACATTTTCATGTAAGCATGTTCCAAATATTGCATGGGATACAGTTAAAATAAAAGATTATTTATTGCTTATTCAAAATTCAAATTTAACTAGAGTACTGCATTTTTATCTGCATCATCTGGCAACTACAGTCAGGAATTCTGGAAGTTTGCTTGGTTTGACAAGCTGTGGTCAGCCCAGGTTCCCCTCTACACACACAAACACACACATACACACATACACTCCAACACATATCCCTCTGCCTATCCCTAGATCCACTACTCTGTTTTTATCTGGCTACAAGCAAATTAAAATGTACATGGAGCCAAGCATGGTGGCACACACTTGTAATCCCAGCAGCTCAGGAGGCTGAGGCAAGAGGATCGTGAGTTCAAAGCCAGCCTCAGCAACAGTGAGGCCCTAAGCAACTCAGTGAGACTCTGTCTCTAAATAAAATACAAAATAGGGCTGGGGATGCAGCTCAGTGATCGAATGCTTCTGTGTTCAATTTCCGGTACCCTCCTAAAAATGTACATGAGGTGAGGGACAACCCAGAGTCCTTTTGCACCTTTGAAATCAAATTAGTTAGCCTAATCCCAGCTGGGTTGAGGACTAGCTTTCTCAAAAAGGACTCTTGGTTCTTCTCCTCCCGACCCCCTCTCCTGTGTTCACGCTTGAAGTCCCTGCTCTGGGTTAAATGCTTCCCAGTTCAAACTTGTTGTACTGGGGACTCAGGGTCCTTTAATAATCTCTCCACAGATCTCATGACAAGTTTTTCTGCCAGTACAGCTTCTCTCCCCCGCCCCCGCCATGTCTTTTCAACAGAGCGTGTTTGGGGCGGTGGGGGAGGAAGGGGGTTGTGTTTTGTGGGTGGCTTCTCAGAGGCCTCATTGAGGCCTTGGACATTGAAACTGAATACAGGAAGTTTTGAGTTGCTATGGAGACTTCTTGTGGATGCTGGTGGGTCCCTGTGAGCTGCTCTCAGCTTGGCGACAAGAGGGCAGAAAGGAAAGAAAAGCCACTGGAAGAGTTTTTTCCTGTAGTGTGCAGCCCTAGCCCACACTGGATGCAGGGAATTTCCCTGGGGCCCCTCAAAATTGCCTCCTCTGGTCTTCACTGTCCCCATCCTTTTGGCCTCTCTGGTCCCTGGGAAATCAGACTTTAACAGGACAAGGAGGAGGGCTGGGGCTGGGGCTCAGAGGGAGAGCGCTTCCTAGCTTGTGTGGGGCACTGGGTTCGATTCTCAGCACCAAATACAAAAATGAATAAAGGGCCGTCGACAGCTAAAGTAAAAAATAAAATAAAGAAACATACCAACCAAATGCAAAGTGAATCTTGAATTAAAAAAATAAAACTTATTTTTTTAAAAAAGGACAAGAAGGGATCTCAGCATCTAGGCCCCCCCATCCCATCATGGGGTGAGCAAGACTTCTGATCCCCAGGTCCCTTGGACTCCAGCCTTACCTTCTAGCAGAATGGAAGGGCCTCCAGGAAAGACGCATGAGTAGAGGCAGGAGGTGGCACCTGGGGCTTGACTCCTGCCATTTCCTAGAGTGAACTCATTCTCTCCAGAGCCTCTATTTTCCCATATTAAAAATGGGCATAACTGGCCTGGTGCAGGGTATGCACCTGTAATCCTCAGTGGCTCAGGAGGCTGAGGCAGGAGGATGGTGAGTTTAAAGCCAGCCTCAGTAATTTAGCAAGGCCCTGAGCAACTGAGTGAGACCCTGTCTCTAAATAAAAAATAAAAAGGGCTGGGGATGTGGCTCGGTGGTTGAGCACCCTGGATTCAATCCCTGGTACCGAAAAAGAGCAGGGAGTTGGGGGTAGAATCATACTATATGCGACTCTGCAGTTTGACTTTCCCCTACACATGTAGGGGACATCCCTTTCAGGTCAATAAATAGACACGCTTATTGACTGTCCCCATCAGGGGGTGTGGTGACATCTCTCACTGGTGGGGGGTGGGTTGGACATGATGGTCATTGACTGCTGATCTGGTCCCCGGGCGTGCAGACCCACACAGCAGGGTGGTGTCCTACAAGCTCAGAGATATCAATGTTTTGGGTGATGTCGGGGCCACAGTAGTTGCTGAGCACCTTGGTACTGCGACAGGAAGTCTAAGTCAGATAAGGTGAGGCCCCTGCCCTCAAGTCTGGTGGGTGGGTCTGATTTGTTTGTACCCAGGCTGGACTGTGAGAAGGGCATTAGAGGGAGGAGCACAGGGGTCCCCACTGCCTGGGGAACACGGCGTCTGCCCTGGGGGATTCCTGCTCAGGTCTCCTTGGCCCTCCCTTCTTCTGGGGCTGGCATCAGGATCTTCCAATCAAGGGAACACAAATCACGGAAATGGAGGTCGTCGCTGGTATGGGGGTTCTCAGGCAGTGACAAGAAGCTGTCAGAAGTCCCCCTGCCCCAGGATCCCTCTTAGTTCCCCAAGGGTCTCAGGCACAGGGCTTGGTTCAGGAAATCCCTTGTAAACCCCAGGAAAGGCTGGAGTCATTGATCTGCAAAGTGGGACAACGTATAGAAAGTCCCATGGGAACGAGTGAAGTTAAACCAGGGCAAGGTGGGAAATGAGGAGAGGCTGTCAGTCAAAGGAGTTCTAGAAAAGTTGAATTTAGAAAGAAAAAAAAGGACCACACATTGTGTATGCCTGAGGATCTGTGGCCCACTAAGTTTCAGTGGCCCCAGAAGAGTCGGGTTGGCAGGACCTGCCTTGACCTCCCTGCCTCCACCCCATCTCCCATCATCCCCCTCGCCCCCTGCACTGCGGGCACAATGGTCTTCTATCACACCAGCTAAGCCCCACCCTGGGGCTTTGCTCTGAGCTGTCCCCAATTCCTGGAAGGCTCTTCCATGTAATAGTCACATGGTCAACTCCTTGTGAGTCAGCCTCCCTCAGCCTCTACCCTCCCTGAGTTCCCAGGCCCTCCCTGTTCCCTCACCCGGTATCACTCTCAACAGAGCGTGTGTCACAGTGGATGTCTTCTTGTGCATCTCTTTAGTTATTGTCCGTGTTTCCCCTTGAATGTAGGTTCCCTGAGGACAAGGATACTCTCTGTCTCCTTCACAGTGTATCCAAAGCACTTCCAATGGTAACAGGGATACAGTAGGTCCTCAAGAAGTGTTTGCTAGCCAGGCACAGGGGCGCACAACTGTAATCCCAGTGGCTCAGGAGGCTGAGGCAGGAGGATTGCAAGTCCAAAGCCAGCCTCAGCAACTCAGTGAGACTCTGTCTCAAAATAAAATGCTAAAAAGGTCTGGGGATGTTGCTCAGTGGTTAAACACCCCTGGGTTCAATCCCTGGTACCAAAAAAAAAGGGGGGGTGTTTGTTACATAAACAAATAACACAGGCCAGAGGGAACCAAAACTGCCTTTCAAATGCCTCCTCTATTCAAGTTTGATGTGTGTCTGGGCCTCATCTCCTTCCAGCCAACTAAGACTGAGAAAATAAAGTTGGGGTGAGGGCCCAGTTTAAGTTGCCAGCTGCCTCACTGGGGGACCAAGGATAGTGCCAAAAGCTAGAAAAGTTCCAGATTTTCAAGTGAAAGCTGATTGTGAAATGAGGAGAAGACCTCCATTATCTGTGAGCACCCAGGTTGACCCTGGGTCCCTACAGAGTGCTTTTTTTTTGCGGGGGAGGGAGGGATTATCAGAGATTGAACCCAGGGACCCTTAACCAATGAGCCACATCCCCAGGCCTTTTTGTATTTTATTAACTCACCAAGTTGCTTAGGGCCTTGCTAAGTTGCTGAGGCTGGCTCTGAACTTGGGATCCTCCTGCCTCAGCCTCCCTAGCCACTGGGATGACAGGCGTTGGCCACCTGCAGGTGTGGGGTCCAGTTCTCTCTGCAGAAGTCCTGACTGAGCACAGTCTGCCCAGTGGCCTTCCCTTTCTGTCACCTCCCAACCCCTGTGTGATTCTCCACATTGGACAAACAAGCAGCCCCAAGGCTCAGAGGCACTGATTACCAGGACTGTCCCAGGAGCCTGCCAGGGACCAGACATTGTCCTCTGTCACTCTCTCACACTCTCCTGCTGGTTTCTCTGCAAAGTCTGGAAAAAGTTCAGTGTCAAGTAAATAATGCACAGAAGTTCCTGACCAGGTGCTGAGCCAGTGCTGTGTCCTTTCCCCTCCCTGCACCCCTGACACCCCAAGAAACTCCTGGGGGCGGGGTGGGGGGGGTGGCGCTGCAGGAAGCCTGGCTTCCCCTTCCCCCGGGGAAGAGCTGCGATCCTCGCGGGCCGCGCCGGGTCTGCAGCCGGGGAAACTCCTCCCGGGAGCCTCCTGCTCAGAACACGGTCCCCATCAACGCAACAAAATAGGTATTTATTTGGGCCTCTGCGACGGGTGGCTCGGACGCGGCGTTCCGCAGGGATCGCGGCGCAAGTGGCCGAGCCCGGGGCGCCGAGCCGGTTACTATAGCAACGGTTCCTTTTTATTGATACCAGAATAAACAGGAATGCGGAGGGGCCTCCCGGGTCGGGTCGCCCCGCGCAGCGGCCTCGGGGTTAAGAACCGCCCTTGGGAGGCGGCCCTCCTCCCGCTCAGGGACTTCCCGGTGGAGCGTGGGACCTGGCGACAGCGCTCCGGATCTGTCTGCTCCAGGACCCCGAGCAAGAAGTAAGACCACGTCTCTCCTGGTCAGTCCCCTGCGGTCCGGCTGGGTGCTGTCCTGGGAGGGAGGAGGTGAGGGGGCGGCTGGGGAGCCCTGGAGCGGGTGTCCCCTGGGCTGCGCAGTTTTGAGTTTGGATACCTGCGCTCTTGTCCCCAAATCGGTGAAATGCTATGGGGTCGCGGAGACTGTGCCTCCTGACACTCTAGGTTTGGGAAAAGGAGGCAAAGCAGGCATCCAGACAGGGCTATGTTCCTGTTGATCTTTGGCTTCTCAGTACTTGGGGGGAATCTGAATTAATGCATGGGAATGACCTCACCTAAATCTGTGATCACACAGCACCGGGAATGGGGCGGGGGGCGGGGGGATGGGAACAGAGCTGGTGCAGGTGGATTTGCTTAACAGCTGGATGACACAGCTGAGAGAAGACAGGTTTGGGCATCAGACAGCTCAGACTGCTGGGATTCTGTCACCTTCATTCACTGGCTGCGTCAGCTGGGAAATCAGATAACCTCTCTGAGCTTCAGTGACTTGGTCTCAAAAGGGACAATGATATCCCCCACCTCCTCCATCGGTCAGGAGAATTTCATGAGACTCAGCTACTAGGTGCTCAGCCCCCAGGGGATGGCACAGTGGTGAGGTCACTTACTTGGTACCAGCCTGCCTTCCTGGTGAATTTGGCTGTAACATGTTTCTGAGACTGAGCCAGAAATCAGGTGCTAGAGGATTGTATGTATGTCCCTGTTTGAAACTGCTACCAAACCCCATGGCTTCTGACCTGGAGGCAGCCCCCAGCACCCATGTCTCTAGTTAGCTTCGATTTTTTTTTTTTTTTTTTTTTTTTTTTTGGTACTGGGGATTGAACTCAGGGCCACTTAACCACTGAGCCACAACCCCAGCCCTATTTTGGATTTTATTTAGAGACAGGGTCTCACCAGGTTGCTTAGTGCCTCACTTTTGCTGAGGCTGGCTTTGAACTTGTGATCCTCCTGCCTCAGCCTCCTGAGCCGCTGGGATGACAGTCATGCACCACTGTGCCCAGCATGTGACTTAGATCTTGGGTGGCTCTCTTAGCTCTGTGGATTGCAAAGTACCTGCCAGGTGGAATGGCCAGCCTCCTGCCACTGGGGAGCCAGCAGGACACCTGGTCTACTGGTGCCTGTTCCCTGCTTAACCTTATAACACGTTGCACAATTCTTCCTAAGAACCCTCCAGGTCCAGCCCAGGACTCTGCTATGAAATGGATTCCAATGTCCACCCAGACCATCTCCTCACAAATCAGGAAGTTAGAATGGACTGAGGCCAAGGGAAGTTCTGTTTTGAGTCTGTCTTGGGTCATTGCATCCAAATGGACAAGAAATCCTGAAGGGGTCCAGGGGCTTCCGGGCATCAGCCAGAGGCTGCTAGGAAATCTGGAGGTGCCTCCAGATACACTGGGCTTCAGTGGCTGGCCGATGGAAAACACAAATGGGCACTTGGCCCGTTGAGGGGGAAAAGGCGAGAAGGCTCAGGAAATCCAGTGGCCACGCTTGTCACTGGGACTGAAGGCCCCTTTTTCCCTTGCTGGCCGCTATTTTACAAGCCTCTCTTCTCCTCTGTCCTGCCGCCCTGTTAAATGCTGAGCCAGGACGGCCCTGGGTGTGGGGCAGGAGGGGGGAGACTGGCCAGCAGCCCAAGGAGGGAAGGCCACCATCTGGTCATCTCCTTAACAGAGGCCAGCCATGGACAGCCAGGCCTGTGGGTTCTGCCTAAGCCAAAAGCTGCCGGGGCCAGCCAGGCGCCTCAGCCAATGTTTGTATTTCATGTGGGTTAACAGTCCTCCCTCTGGCATCTATAAAATGGGCTCCCGCTACTTCTGCATTGGCATTTCTTAGGCTACGCCTAACCCCGATTTCTCAACTGAAAAATCTTTTGCACCTGGAAGACAGAGACACCGTAGAAGAGCATTGAATTTGGAGTCCAAAGATCCTGCTTTTGCCACTTATTTGCTCCATATCTTGGCCTCACTGGGCCTTGATCTTCTCACCTAGAATAGCAGCTGCTTCCCAGGCTCATTATGAGAACTAAACCAAATGCCCAGGCAGGGCTCATCACAAAGCCCCTTCAGGACAGCCCTGGGCCGAGCACAACATGCACGTTATATCATTTCACCTTCCAAATGACCCCATGAGTAGGTATTACCATTATCCCTACTGTATAAAGGCCCAGAGAGGTCAAGCTATTTGCCTGGGATCACTCAGCTAGGAAAGGAGGCCACCATGATTCAAACCTGGTCTGTCTCTTCTGAAACATTGCTGTTTTAACCATCTTGATTTACTGGTTTTTATGTCATTTGTTATAACTGATGCCATCAAAGATATAACAGAACCATCAGGGAGGGGAGAGGCAGATAGAGGGGACATTAAGACCTTAGAGAGCCTGGGGTCTCACCGCTATTTGCAGGATGAACTGGGACCTGGAATCCCATCAGTATAGCTCCCTTTCTGTCCTCTCTTTATGGGTGCCCAGGAGGCACCCATGTTGGTTTCAAAGCTGTCACCCTCATATTAACGTGCCCTCCCAGCAACCTGATGAGCTCACCCTGCTGTCAGGGATCCCAGATGAGCCTTGCCTGGTATGGGGCTGATGTTCTGCAGAGCCTCAAGCAGGGAGCATCAGGACCTCTTGGGTCAGCAGCAGAACCAGGAAAGAAGCAAGCAAGGCGCCCTGGGTCTCTCCTCCAACTCTTATTACACCCACCCTTGCAAGATGAGGTCAGCCGCACACTCTGCATATTAAGTGAGAATTATTTGCCCATTTTATAGTCTTGCAAGACACTCCATCTAGTTGTCACCTACTGGCTCCCTTGCCCAGTCCTTGAGCTCAGCAGTGTACAACCAGCATGATTCTACAGAAAAGGGTCCCTCAGAGGTTAGAGTTGCCCAAAATCACACCACGGCTGAGAACGTGCTCTTATCAGACCTGCTCCCAAGGACTCCGGGCCAATGCAGATAAGCTTGGTTGCTTTGGTGTCTTTGTCTAACTCCATGATTTGCAAAGATGGCTGGCTATTGGAATCACCTGGGAACTTTTACAACCCTCAAAGGCCAGCAGGTATGGTGGCACATGCCTGTAATCCCAGCAGCTAGGGAGGCTGAGACAGGAGATTGTGAGTTCAAAGCCAGCCTCAGCAACTTAGTAAGGTCCTAAGCACCTTAGTGAGATCCTGTCCCTAAATAAAATATAGAAAGGGCTGGGGATATGGCTCCTGGGTACCCCTGGGTTCAATCCCTGGCACCAAAAGAAAAAGCCTGTGTTGTGACAGATCTTTATATAGAAGTCTCATTTAATTAAATTAAAAGGAAGGCTAGTGCTGCAATTCTTAAACCCTAGGGGTTCCTAGCACTTCCCTTCCGACCCCTGACATGCGTGTGTACACAGCTCTCCTTGCCATCGCCACCCCACTCCCACCCCATGCTGTTTACCTAATTCAGCATCTTGAGACGCAAAGGCAGATTTTCCCAGCTGCAACTCTGGGCTAAAGAACCAGACACATCCCTGCCTCACCTAACACACTGGTGATTTTATTTGAAGAGGGGAGAGGGCTTGGAGCAGATCCTTGAGCCGGGCATGGCCACTGATTGGACCCTGGGAGTAGGACTGATTCCATCATTTTCAGATCCCAGTGCCAAATAAAAATTCAGGGCCATTGTCCAAGATGTATCAGGCAGCAGCAGCAGGTTAAACAAACAAGGCCCCTCTTTTTTTTTTGGTACCCGGGATTGAACCCAGGGGCACTTAACCACTGAGCCACATCCCAGCCCTTTTGATACTTTATTCAGAGACAGGGTCTCACTAAGGTTCTTAGGGCCTTGCTAAGTTGCTGAGGCTGGCTTTGAACTCTTACTTTGAGCCTTCCTGCCAGGGTGAGGCCTGACTCTGTAGCAGTCAACCCACTGGCTACTGGTGACCTATGGCCAGTCAGAGGATTTTCCCTCTGGAATTTAATGGGAAAGATGGACAGACAGAGACCACCCACTGGAAATGAAGAAAACCAAAGTCATAAAAAAAAAAAATCCCCGAAACCTGCTGACAGTTTTCTCCCCCAGAATGACCTTTTAAAAATGGAATCAGAAGCGCGATTTCTCCCAGACTTGAACCCACCCGGCCACCCTCTCTCTGAACATTCTGCCGCTCACTCTCCCCACCCCGGGCACACTGTGTCTTTGTGCTCTCTGAACAGGCCGGCTTGTTCAAGGTGCATGAGTCACAAGTGCTATTCCCCAGGCCCCAAGCAGCCTCCTCTTTCCATCTCAGCTGTCAGATTTTAAGTGTCACCTCTCCAGAGAGGCCCTCCCGCTGCACCTGGCTGGAGATGGGTCCTTCACCAAACTCTATGGAGCCCGCCTGTTGCCACATCTATAACTGTTTTTATTGGTTTGCACGTGTGTGCTATTTACTGTCTGTCTCCCGCACCCCAGTGTCAGCTCTGTGAGAGTTGGGACCTTATCATTCAGTGTCCCTCTGCATGTCCAGTGTCTGCCACAGCACCCAGCAGATTATAGGAACTCAAACATTTAGGGAATGCATGACTTTTTAATGATCACATACTTTCTCCATGGTCATTCTGTTATGGAGACACTCTTGGTTTTGTGTCCTCATTTCCTATCTGGCCACAGGACTGAATTCCCTCTCCCAATGCTTGCTGGGTACGAATGTATGATTTTTTTTTTTCAAATGTTCATCCTGCCATCTCCTTCTCTAAAGTTGGACCATTTATTTCTGTTTCCTGCTTTATCATGTTGGCAACATACAGTTAGTTCTTTTAAAGATGGCGGAACTGGGGAAGTAGCTGGGGCATAGAGGGACTAAGGGGAGGGTGAACAGCCAGGGAGTCACGGTGGCTATTAAAGTGTAGTTTGCCAATGCTGACAGCTGAGGATATGGGGAAGAAAGAGTGTAGCTGAGAACTACTCTTTTAGAGGACCGGTGGAACTTGGGACTGGAAATAGGCATCAAAAGGAAAGAAATCTCATCACCACACACACACACCTATAATCCCAGCAGCTCAGGAGGCTGAGGCAGGAGGATCGAAAGTTCAAACCCAGCCTTAGCAACTTAGTGAGGCCCTAAGCAACTCAGCGAGACCCCATCTCTCAATAAAATATAAAAAAAGGGCTGGGTATCGCCATCCATCTGAGCTGACAACCTATGCTGGGTTCACAAATCTGACTATGCCAATAACTTAAGAAAACGGTGAAGAAAGCATGCAAATACATAGAAGTACCTTTTCAAAATCTGGGGACGGCTCTGTGACTTTAGGGGTCCATGAAAGAGAGTGAGCCACTGGAATTCTTCATTATTATATAGGGGACACACATGGGGAGTTTCCATGGAACATTCTATCCCAAAAAGGGCAAAGGGGTAGGATTACAAAGGAACAGGTGAATGTAGGTCAACCCCACCAGGTGACGCCCACTCCTGGAGCCAGACCTCATTATCTGAGCGGGACTAAAAGTCCAATGTATTGTGGGGTGCAATAACTGTTTGGTACCCCTTTACTCAGGACTTAAAGCTGTGTACCTAGCTCGTGTCCAGAGCGGCTCCCAACAGCTGGGGTTGTGGCTCAGTGGTTAACAGCCCCTGAGTTCAATTCCTGTTACCAAAACAAGAAAGTCAGGTATCCTGGTCAGGGTGTCACATTAGTAAGTATCCAAGATCCACCTGAGAAGAGAACGCATGCCTCGTGGGGACAGGTGGGGTCATGAACCCGGCTCTGACCAATTCCTTCGTCCATCTCCGCAGCTTCAATGTACTCAGAGATCCAGAGGGAGCGGGCAGACATTGGGGGCCTAATGGCCCGGCCAGAGTACAGAGAGTGGAACCCAGAGCTCATCAAGCCCAAGAAGCTGTTGAACCCTGTGAAGGCCTCCCGGAGCCACCAGGAGCTGCACCGTGAGCTGCTCATGAACCACAGAAGGTAGGGATGGAGCTGGTTGCCTGGGCCCAGCAAGCAAGCCCCTCCCCGGGCCTGCTGGGGCGGGGGCGGCCGCTCATGGAAAGCAGGCATGGCCACCATCCTGGGGCTCCTGGAGGCTGAGGGGGGCTGAGGGTGCCTCACGTGACCACCCAGCAGAGACTCTGAAGTTCTGATCCTCTGTGGGCCCCTAAGAGGCAGAGGGCCCTGAAAAGCCCCATTCTAGCCGGTTGAGATGTGGCACACCTCTAATCCCAGCAGCTTGGGAGGCTGAGGCAGGAGGATCGCAAGTTCAAAGCCAGCCTCAGCAGCTTAGCAAGGCCCTGAGCAACTCAGTGAGACCCTGTCTCTAAAATATATATATATATATATATATATATATATATATATATATATATATATATATATATATGTATGTATATAAAAGGGCTGGGGATGTGGGTTAGTTGTTAAGTGCCCCTGGGTTCAATCCCTAGTACAAAAAAAAAAAAAAAAAAAAAAGAGAGAGAAATAAAGCCCCATTCTCCCTCCCAGCCACCCACTTCATGCCAGCACTCCAGATCTTTTGCTGAGAGCACACTGTGCGCCATGCACTGTACCCAGACCCAGGGTACAAGAAGGAATTTCCTGCCCTCACAGAGGGGGATAGACATGTAACCAGGTGGTGGGATGGGTGATTACACAGGGGCAGAGGGTCTGGGACTCTAGAAGAGAAAGGGTCCAAGATAAATTCACTGGGAGATACTCAACAGTCAATAGGGAGAGGGAGACTGAGGCTCCCCTCTGAGGCCTGGGAAACCCCTCCCTGCCCACGGGTCCAGAATGGAGGCAAGAGTGCCTTCATAGCTCCCCCTCCTGGCCAGTTCTGGTTTTACAGTCACTCGTGATGGCCATTCTGGGTGTCAGGTGTGTGAACCCCATACTCTAGCAGATATTCTTTTGTACATGGGGCTGGTTTTGGTTTTGCTTATTGTTATAACATGAGAATTTTCTATGATTGCTTTTCAGGATGATCATTCCTTTTATTTTTTTAATTTATTTTTTTTCTGTTGTTGATGGAACTTTATTTATTTATATGCAGTGCTGAGAATCAACTCCAGTGCCTCCCCCACACATGCTAGGCAAGCGCTCTCCCACTGAGCTACACCTGCAGCCCATGATCCTGTTGACAAACATCAACACAATCAGAAATAGCATAAAAACAAGCCAGGAGAAATATTTGTCATATAAATACATTATATTGGGGGGGGAAGCTATATATACAGAAAAATACTAATATCTTCACATCTCTTAATCCACAAGGAAAAGATGAACAAAAATAGGCCCAGTGAATTCACAAAAAAGAGAACTGCTGGCTGGTAAATCTATCAAAAGCTGTTCCCTATAACTAATAATCAAGGAAACAAAGGAAACCAGATTTTATTTTGTGCCTATCAGATTCTCAAATAGAAAGATTGGCTGGTGATGGTGAGGAGAAAGAGATGCCCTCAGACACTGCTGATGGAAGCAGACATTGGGTAACTTTTCTAGAGGCAAACGGAAATATGTACCCACCCTCTTTTAAGCCTGACCCAACAATTCTACCTTTAGAAACTCGTCCTAGGGACTAGGGCTGGGGCTCAGTGGTAGAGCGCTCGCCTAGCATGCATAAGGCACTGGGTTCAATCCTCAGCACCACATAAAAATAAAATAAAGATAATGTGTCCACCTATAACTAAAAAATAAATATTAAAAAAAAAAAGAAAAGAAAGTCGTCCTAAAAAAAGATCAAGAAAGAACCCAAAATCTGGGCTATGCAGTCAGAGGGAGGGTGGTGGGATTGGTGTCACCATGAGATGTAGCCCTGGGACTGGGGGAGGTGGGAAGGAGAGGGGTTCTCCTAATGCCCCCCCCACCCCAGGGGCCTCGGCGTGGACAGTAAGCCAGAGCTGCAGCGTGTCCTGGAGCATCGCCGCAGGAACCAGCTCATCAAGAAGAAGAAGGAGGAGCTGGAGGCCAAGCGGCTTCAGTGCCCCTTTGAGCAGGAGCTGCTGAGACGGCAGCAGAGGCTGAACCAGGTGGGTAGGGGGCATCCAGTCCCAGCCCCTGTCTCCTCCAAGGCTGTCTCCTGGGCCTGGGAGGAAGGTCAACAGAAAGCACTGGCCTAAGCCTTCACTCTGCCACCCTGCTGTGTGACTTTGGGTAAATGGCTTCCCTTTCTGAACCTCGGCCTCTGTGCCAGCCCAGTACACTGCAGGCTAGTTCTGATGATCATAACTTGCCCTCTGAGCCAGGTGACATTACCAATTCGGAGGAGGCCCAGAGGCCAGGGATCTGAATCCGCCTTTATAAGGCGAAATAAATCTCATGCTGTCCCCGCGGTCCACCAGGCTGGTGGCAAAACCAATCCCCAGGTTGTTTCTGTGGGGAGGACCTTTGGCCCAAACCCCGTGGCTGTTGAGAACAGGAGTCTTCCTGGCCCCGCCCACTTCATACCACCACTTCTGTCTCCTTCAGCTGGAAAAACCACCAGAAAAGGAAGAGGAACATGCCCCCGAGTTTATCAAAGTCCGGGAAAACCTGCGGAGAATCGCCACCCTGAGCAGTGAGGAGAGGGCGCTGTAGAGTGGCTGCTGGGCACTGCCCGCCCTGCACTCCCTGGCCCAGGCTCCTCCAGCCCCCTGCACCTGGCTGCCCGGGGCTGTCCGTGATGTTCACACCTGCTCCCGTAGAAATGTGTCCCCCCAGGGGGTCTGGCTCACCCTGGGAAGCTGGGGACCCTGAGCTCCCACACTGTTCCTTCCGAGCGTCCATGTCTCCTGCCCCAAGAGGAATTCACTGCCAGGAAAACCTTCTCCAAGGCACCCCTCCCTGATCCTGAGCCCTGCACAGGAAACTAGCCTGGCAGAATTGGAAAGGAAGGACAGGTCCCCTCTGTGTCCTGCCGAGTCCTCCGTTCTGCCCAGGACTGTCCACCGGGAGACTCCAGGGCCCCATGGGGCCCTGCCTCTCAGAGCAGCCCAGCTCCTAGGCCCAGAAAATTCTGGCTGCAGTTTTACCTGAGGTCAGGTGAGGAGCAGATAAGCAGAGCTTAGCCTGGGTAACACCTGCTTTGAGAGCCAATGAGCAGAGAAAGGCTAATCTGTCCACAGCAAGGTCCCCAGGAGGTCAGATGGTGAGGGGGGAAGGGTACTAACCCAGACAGCCTTTTAGGGTTTGCAGGCTCTGCCCATGCCTTCCTTGTTCCTCCTCCACAGCCCACCCTACCTGGGCCTTGGAACCACACCTGGCAGGGATACAGCATTCCCAGTCCCAGTTTAGAAAAGCGCTTCGAAAACTTTACTGTGCATACTAATCACTGGGATCTCTTTAAAACACAGCTGCCGAGACTGGGTGCAGTGGCACACGCCTGTGATCCCAGAGACTCTGGAGGCTGAGGCAGGAGGATTGCCAGCCTTAGCAACTTAGCAAGGCCCTGAGCAACCCAGTGAGACTCTGTCTCAAAAAATAAAAAGGGCTGAGGATGTGGCTCAGTGGTTAAACACCCCTGAGTTCAATTCCCAGTACCCGCCCCCCCAAAAAAAATTTAAAAACAGTTTCCGACTCCATAGATCTGGGCAGGGGCTTAGATTCTACATGGATAACAAGCTCCTGTTGAGGCTGAGACTGCTGGTTTGAGGACCACCCTGAGCAAAACTGGAGGGTGCGGGGAGGTGCTCAGTGGTTCAGATCAGAAACACCATTCAACTCCCATGAACCTCTGCCCTGGGGGTTCCCAAGGCCACCTCTGCAGCCCAAGGACTCTTGGTTCCTTATCCAGCCCACCTGCAGGGACTCCTGGCCCTGGAAGACTTTGGTTTAACAAATTCTGTTCCTCAGTGACTTGCTTTGTTCACCAGAGCTGCATATTATTGCCAACTGTGTTCCTTACCCGTTTGACCACACCACTGCGCACTTCTCGCCAAAAAAAGAACAATGTTACCTTCTCTACAACAATGTGGAAAGCAAACATACCAAGATCTCCCCTAGGCTCCTCAAGGTACAAACAGTAGCTTCAAGACCCCACTGCCACATCTGTGGCCTGGCCTCCTCAGCAACCCTTTCCAGGCTGTCATGTGAAGAGACCTCCCCCACCTGCAGCCCCTCCAGGAAGTTCCCCCACTCTCCTTCCCCGAGGATCCCTTCCTGGGTGAGACCCAGATATTCTAACCTTTCCCCCCCCCCCCATGAAGTTTTAAAGACTTAGAGAACAAACCAGGCTTGTTTGTTTTCCCTTGAAGAATAAAATCCCTGCCTCGGGCTTTCTAAGCCCTTCACTAGAGGTGACAGAGATGGGTTAGAGCTGCCCTTGGGACACCCTCTGATAGCTTGAAGCAAAGGTGGACTTACGGGAGGAAAGGGTTTATCCTGGTCGGGTTTCTTTTAAGTCACACATGACAGTAGAGAGCATTTTGACCTATCACACATACATGGAGTCTAGCCTCCCATTCTTGTGGTTGGACATGATGTGGAGTTTCCCTGGTCGTGTGTTCACATAGGAACACAGGAAAGTTCTGTCCCATTCATTCCACTGTCTTTCCCATTCCCACCTACCCCCCCATCCTGGTCTTAACCCTAACTGGGTGGCTTGAGGGTGACTGAGATGCCGTCCTTCTCCTGTGGGTGGGCCAGCATAGGGGTGTAAGAATAGGTACACCACCTGTGTGTGTGCGCATGTGCATAAGCCAAGCTTTAAAAATGTCCCTGAATGTGACTGTCCTGATGAGAATGTGGCAAAGTTATTCTAAGTGTCTCCTGGGTGAGGCTTACGCTGAAGATGCATGATTCCTACACAAAGGCCACCAGTTCCCGGAAGAAGTCACCTTCAGGGGTCAGCATGCCATTCAAACATGCAAAGAGAAGCAAGATAGAGTGTTCCAGATTGAGTAGGACCACCCAAGGGAGCACCCGAGGTTCCACCCGGTGGTGGCCAGAGGTGCTTCTGGAAGAGGAAGCCCCAGAAACAGAAGGATCCTCAAGCACCATGTCATTCAGGGGAGCCCCAGCAGACACCCTCGGTGTACTCCCCACTGATCAGTCCCAACTCCATCTCTCTATCGCCTTCCACCAAGGAGGCTATAATTCCAGATTCTCACTGTTCTAGTCTTCTTTGCAGTTTGGGGTGACGCTGAGACCGAGTATGGCTAATGACATTTAAATGGAAGTCTACAGGAGCTTCTGGGAAAGCTTACGCTTTTATGATCAAAAGAGGCATAGCAAATTCCTTCCCTTTGCTCCTTTCTTCTCCCTGCCTTGATTGAGGATATGATACCTGGAGCTGCAGGTGCCATTTTGCTACATGAGAAAAAGGCCGAGAGAATCAGAGAGATGTAAACCCTATCATCATTTCACCAAGCCAATGTCCTTCTCCAGATTCTTGTAAAAAAAAAATAATAATAATCCCTGTTTGTTTAAATCATTGTTATTCAATCTCTGTTACCTGGACTCAAAAAAGTATTTCCTAAGTGATACAAAGGGCCAGCCCTGACTGCCCAGAAATACCTGCAGGCCATGCTAGAATTCAAATTCCAATTTCTCAAAAGAAAATTATGTATAAAAGTCCTTTAGCAACCTATTGGCCTGGGTTTTGTTGTTGTTGGTGGTGGTGGTCCTGGGGATTGAACCCAGGGATACTTAACCACTGAGCCACATCCCCAGCCCTATTTTATATTTTATTTAGAGACAGAGTCTCACTGAGTTGCTGAGGCTGGCTTTGAACTCGCCATGCTCCTGCCTCAGCCTCCCCAGCCACTGGGATGACAGACGCGTGCCACGGCGCCCAGCGGGGTTCTCTTTTTCTATACCTTTTCATTTAGCCCCCGGGCACCAGTCTGAGAGCTGGAACTTGGACATCACTAATGCAGTAAATATTTGTTGACTGCCCATTCTGTGCCAGGAAGCATACTAGGGGCACGCTGGGCACAGTGGAGAGAAAGTGCCTGTCCTTCACTTGGATTACAGCTCTCCCTGTACAGCCTTTGCCTCTACTGCCGGTTCTCAACAGAGCAGCCAAAATGACCCTGTTCAATTTTAGGCAGATCTTACCACTGTGCACAGAGCCAACCATCAGGATCCAGTCCTTCCTGCAATCTCAAGGGTCCTATGTGTCAGGCTCCTTCTTAACCTCTGGCCTTCCCCCCCCTTCTCCCCCTCACTCACGTAGCTCTGGCTGCCCTGGCCTCCCCACACTCTCCAGGTGCACCCCACTTCTGTGTCTTTTCCTGGGCCAGGAAGATCCTTCCCCTTGGGAGCCACCAGGTCCACTCCCTGATTTTCTTCAGGTTTTTGGTTTTGGGTTTTTTTTTTTTTGGATGCTTCTTTCTAAACAAGGCCCCATGTAAAATGTCAACATTGCTGGATGTGGTAGTGCACACCTGACCTGTAATCCTAGTGACTCCGGAGGCTGAGGCAGGAGGATCATGAGTTCAAGGCCAGCCTCAGCAACTTACCAAAGCTCTAAGCCACTTAGAAAGACCCTGTCTCAAAATAAAAGTTAAAAGGTGTTGGGATGTGGTTCAGTGGTTAAGAGTGCCCCTGGGTTCAATCTCTGGTACAAAAAAAAAAAAAAAAAAAAACCCAAAAATAAAATGTCAACACCTACACACTTCCTATTGCAGGAGTCAAAGACCTGTCATTTCAATATGTCGAATTGGCATAGGAAACTGTAATAATTGAGCAACTATAACTTCAGAAAGGGATTCTTGACTTGTCTTTTTCTATGTAAAGCCATGAAGGTTCCCGATACCAAGGCAGGAAAAGGACCTTGAGCACCAGAGCCTGGTAACTGGGGCTTCTATGAACCTGCATAAACACATTGGTTGAAGTAACTCTCATCTTCCACTAACTTATGTGTCCCCATTTATATCTTGGTGTCAGCCTGGAATCACTACCCTCATCCTGAAACCCACTTGTCCTGTTATTCCTTTACAAATGTATTGTTCTTTGACTAAAAATGTATAAAAGCATCATGCATTCATCATTTCTCGGACTTCACACTTGTAAAGATCCTCATGTAAATTTAATAAAACTCTTCTCAACCAGCCTTGGGTTAATTTGGTTCCTAGAACCAGCCAGAGAGTCCACATAAGAACTAAGGGCAGCAACTCAGGAGGCTGAGGCAGGAGGATCCCAAGTTCAAAGCCAGCCTCAGCAACATAGTGAGGCCCTAAGCAACTCAGTAATTCTCTAAATAAAATATAAAAAAGTTGCTGGGGATGTGGCTCAGCGGTTAAGAGCCCCTGGGTTCAATCCCCAGTACCAAAAACAAAAACAAAAAAAACCTTAAACTCTTTTGCTCTGCTATTTCTCCATGAATATATTGTTCTTTATTGAAGTTGATATATAAACCAGAGTTCTAAGCCACCACTTTGCTTTGCTTTTTTTTTTCTTTTTAATATTTTTTTTTTAGTTGTAGATGGACACAATATATTTTATTTATTTTTAGGTGGTGCTTTTTGTTGTGGTTTCTCCCAGTTGACATGAGCTGCATGCATTAGTAAATTGTTTTGTCTTTCTTGTTAATTTGTCTTTTGTTATAAGGGCCTACTCTAAGTACCAGCTAGCTGGGGGTGGAGCTCATGAGGCCCTGGATTGGATCCCCAGCACAGCAAGAATAAAATCAATAACTCCTGATAGTTGAGAAAATTTTTATTTTCTTCCCTACAGTGTTGTTAACAATCATGCCAGTTTGTCAAAAAATATTTCATATGTATATTTAGTTGTAGCTGGACACAATACCTTTAGTTGTAGGTGGACACAATATCTTTATTTTATTTTATTTTATTTTATTTTTATTTATTTTTTTTTTAGTTCTCGGTGGACACAACATCTTTGTTTGTATGTGGTGCTGAGGATCGAACCCAGGCCACACGCATGACAGGCGAGCGCGCTACCGCTTGAGCCACATCCCCAGCCCCCTTTATTTTATTTATTTATTTTTATGTGGTGCTGAGGATCAAACCCAGGGCCTCCCACGTGCTAGGTGAGTGCTCTACCACTGAGCCCGAGCCCCAGCCCCTCAGAAAAACCTTTTTAATACAAAATTCTGAGAGGATTCAGCACTCAGATATGACAAAAGAAGGAGCATTAATTGTATAATATTCTATATTCAAAACAGAACTTTAACGGAAAAGGCAGGAATTCTCCTCTTGTAATTCTGGATAGCTAAAATCCCGGGTGTACTGCTTAGCTATGGTCCCCCAAGGTCCACAGGAAGCAGGTGCTAATTCTGTGGCTCAGACCTGGATTTAGTTGAGAAAATTTTTATCTTTCTTCTGGATTTAGGTCCCAGCTCTGCCATTTACTTTTTATTTTTATTTATTTTTTTGGTACTGGGGATTGAACTCAGGGGCACTCAACCACTGAGCCACATCCCCAGCTTTACTTTGTATTTTACTTAGAGACAGGTCTCACTGAGTTGCTTAGGGCCTCACTTTTGCTGAGGCTGGCTTTAAACTCACAGTTGTCCTGCCGGGATTAGGGCGTGGTTATCACTTTTTGTCAAAAGCCTGGACAACTTTTGGGCCCCGTTGTCCACTCTCCACGTCTGTGACAGGGGTGATAAAGAGCTCCACTGGTTGAATGTCCGGTGTGTGTGCCAGGGACCATGCACAGTTCCTGTTCAATACCTTGTATGGATTAGCTCTTGTAATCCCCAAGACTATCATTACCCCTGTTTTAGGTGGGCCTGCGTCTGCCTGACTCTCCAACCCAGGCAGCACCCACTGGGGGAGGATCCAGGAGGGTGTTTTACAAAGCACCCATATTAGAGTGTTCCCAGCTCTTCTAGAACATTCTAAGAGCATGCTGAGGCCCAGTGGCCTTCCTCCTCTACGAACAGCCGGTGGCCACCCACTTTAGTCCCCCTCACAGATGATAGAAAAGTCCGTGGCCACCTGAAACACAAGGGCCCACATTCCTGTCTCATTCTGGGGAGCTCAGGGAAGGGGCAGGAGGACAGAAGACATATTGGGCTTCTTCTGTGTTCCTGAGACCTAGCCAGCAGGAGCTCCCTGCCTCCCTTCCCTTTAGGGATATCTTGACAGGTGGCAAGTGTGACTGAGAGCCCAGGTTTCAGGCTCTGAGATGGACTTCAGACATCTGGGAGGAGATGAGAGGATCCAGCTCCACCACCCACAAGTTGAGTGACCCCTGAACAAGTTACTTAATAACTCTGAGTCCTTCATCTGTCAGGTGGGGGGTAGCAATATATTTGCCTCCTGGGTTTTGCAGAGGGCTGAATTTACAAGCCCCAGGTTCACGGCTAGTACCCAACAAAAGTTAATTATTATCACCTTCCTTTTCCCTACTCATTTTACTCCATCTATTTCTTGCTAAAATAGATGTTTTCACTGTTTCCACTCATTCTTTTCTCTCAGTCCATAAACTGATCCAGCACCCACACACACAGCCTGCCCTTCAGCGTGGCTGGACCACTTCAAGACACCATGCCCAGGCTGGGGATGTGGCTCCGTGGTGGAGTGCTTGCCAGGCACGCATGAGGCTCTGGGCTTGATCCTGAGCACCGCAACAACAACAACAAAAAAAGAACCCCACTGTGTTCTTCTCCCTGTCCTCATTTTTGGGGGAGTTTTGACCCCACATCTTCTCATGCCGGCTCTGAGGGTCCCCATGTTATCTAACATTTTTCTGTTGTTTTAAAACAACTGAGAATTTACCTTCTGCTTTAATTCACTACCCCAAACCCAGGGAGCCCAGAGTGAGGCGTGGCATGACTTCCCTGCCTGGTTCCCCTCTCCTTCCCTGGCAGTAAAAGGATTATTTTCCCCACACTTTGACGCAGACCCTGTGACTAGTTCTGGTTGACAGAATCAAAGCATGACAAGGATCGCCTCTGGGCTGAAGCAATGAGAAGCCCCAGGGACCCTCAATTCCTTCTCTTCCCATTGTGGCATATGCAGGGCTTATAGTTAAGATGGAAGAGCCTCAAATCAAAGCAGCCTGGCTCTCAGGTCACCACAGAGAGGGCGGCTGTCCTGGTCAGTCAGGACAGCAGTGGGTGTGGAATAAATAACTATGTTTAGCAATTCATCTTTGGGGGGGGCACTTCATTCCTGCAGCCTGGTCCAGTGCATTCTGCCTAATGCAGAAGGGTACGAGCTAAAGTCACCAAAATCTATGGAATTCCTATCATGGTGTAATCTTATAAAAAAGGGCAATGTTTGACATAATGTTTTAAGCAAGTGAATAAATAACATGGATGCTAATTTAACTCAAAATATGTGATTTTTTTAAAAAACACTAATAGGAATAAAAGATGCTCTAAGAAAAGATGGGGGGAAAAAAAACCTTTTGGTCAGAAATATGAACTGATATCATAAAGTCATCCTATTAATCTAAGGAGATTTGAAGGCCCCAGAAGATATCCAAAGACTAGCAAATAGTGCACCTGTATCAGTCTGAAAGGGTAAAGTTTCTAAGCTGCAAAGCCTGAGTTAAAATGTAAAGGACCAGGTATTGTTAAGTTCCTATGCTACACTCAAAACCTGAAACTCCTGTAGCTGTTAGGACAATTCCCAGGACTGCCCAGTAGATATTCCCCCTGACCATTTAGTTGTTTAATAACCTAGACCCTGTGCAGCTTGGCATGTAGGCATCTCAGGGCCCAAACCAATCAGTTTGAATGTATCCCCCTCCTTAGGACTGCCCTATCACTCCCGCCCGACCTGTTCCCGCCAATGAATGTACTAATCATGTTTGAGAATTGTTGTTTGACTTTCCTGCGGTGTATGTTGATTTGTTAAAGGGGACTGTGATGTATGTAAAGTCCCTGCCCTCCAAAAAAAGTGTACTTAAGCACTGCTCAACCCCTGCTCGGGGCTCTGGGCTGCTCTCCCTTCTTGAGTGAGCACGGAGCCCCAGGGCGCTGGATCCTCAATAAACCCCATTTTGCTGTTGCATGAGTCGGTCTCTTGGTGGTCTCTTCCTCCATCGTTCGCCGGACCCTTACAAGTCAGGACTATTTGGTGACAAAAGACAGAAACACAACTCAAACAGATTACAAAATCAAGATTGATTTAAAGAACTGACAGAAAAACTCTCAAACTTGAGGAAAGACATAAATATCCAAATACAGGAATCTCAATGTTCTGCAATAAGATTCAATCTAAACAAGATGATAGCCAGACATATTATAATTAAAAGAAAAAAAAAAAAACAAGACAGGATCCTAAGAGCAGCTAAAGAAAAGAAACCAATCACATAGAAGATAACTCCAATATTGCTATCAGCAGATTTCTCAGCAGGACCCTTATATTGGAGAGAACAGGATGATATATTCAAAGTGCTGAAGGAAAAACTTCCAACCAAGAATACATCACCTGGTAGAACTGTCCTTCAGAAATAAAATCAAGAGCCAGGTGTGGTGGCTCTTTGTAAGCGAATTTAATTCTGCAATAAAAAGACAAAGAATAGCTGAATAGAATTTAAAAAACAAGACCTAACTATATGCTGCTTGCAAGAGACTCACTTCACCTGTAATCCCAGTAACTCAGGAGGCTGAGGCAGAAGGACCACAAGTATAAGACCAATCTGGACAACTTAGCAAGACCCTGTCTCAAAAGTTAAAAATAATTAAAAGAACTGGGGTGTAGGGCATAATGTAACGTGGGGCATGTTGCATCAGAAAAGAGGAAACTTAACTTGCTGGCTGCTACTCGCTTCCCAGTCCTGGGGCCATAGGTGGCTAAGAGAGCACCTAGCAATTAGCCAGAAGGCATTGCCAAGGGTTGTGATGAAGAATTGGCTCAGAACCCTTCTGCCCTCAAGGACAGCATATGTCTCCCATTACTGCCTGTAGGATGGGGGTAGATGTAAATTCTCCTCACCCTGCTGACCTTTACCCTGATTGGCTCCTGTACATTAGATTACATTAGATTAGCTGGGTATGTTTTCTCATTAAAGAACTGTCAAAGATCCTGCTTTGACAGTTCTCCCTAGCCCGCCTGATTGTCCTCGGGGAGGAAGGAGGGCTGAGTGTGGGTGGCCAGTCAACCTTTACCTTTCTTGGCCTGTCCTGGTC